CAACCAATACTAACCACAGTCAAGTAATTCATACTCCATTACAACCAACAGATGGAAGCAATCAACATGATCAAATTATAAATCAAATCTTATCAACTGAAATCGTCATCAACACTCAACCTAGTATACAATTGAGTGAGACAAACACCATCGCAACACAAGTTCCATCAGTATCAAGTCATCGTGCAAATGTTGTTCCACCAAGAAGACAACCAGACAATCACACAGCACAAACACGACAAAACCAACGAATACCACAACAATATTGGACATTACCACGTCAACAGTTACAAACAGCTCATCATTATCACCAGCAACAACAACACCGTCAACATCTGAATCAAGTACAAAGACAGCAACCACAGCGTCAGCGTTTCGATCCAAGACGACGACAACAACAAAACCAGCATCGCTTTCAACAACAACGAAGAGCCGAAACTGACCAGCAACATTCTCGACCATGGCGCGACTATTCGTATGAACGACCATCCGACCTATTCTACAGAATCATGCAAGAAGTGTTCGTCGAGCAAAACTATCAACGCTTACTTGAAGAATATCTCAACCCACCACTACCATCAGATCTACATGACCTACCTGTAGTTGAAGAAAATCCGGATATCTTATTTGAAGCATATGAGAGTGGAAAGATGGATGAAAAGTTACAATGGGAACAAGAACAACTGCAACAGCTCGAACTAGAAGCTTCCATCGAACCACAACTACTCGACCAAGATGAACTCGAACAAACAGAAAACATTGATAGTATTAATCGAACCCTAGAAGAAGAACAAAACACTCACAACCTACAACAACTTACAAGCAAACAACTATTATAACAACTTCAGTTCCTCAATATACAACTATATGAACCATAATACTAATTCATTATGTGAAACTTTTTTTTTCATAACAATCTGAATGTGAACACTATAACTTGTAAAAAAAATTAATCCTTTGTGTAACCATAACTCCTTATATCAAAAACAATACACTTCATTATTTTCATTTCAGATAAAATTATCAAAACAACATATATTCATATTCATCTCAACCCAATATTCAGAACGAAACGATACTTAAAAAAATTATTCAACCAGAAAAGAAAACAACACATAGGTACATACAGGTTAACATTTTTTTGAAATTTCGTACTCCTTCTACTAATTCACATAGATATTCAACAGCAGACGGCAACCATAAACGCAACATCCCGTCCAACTGAAACTAATCGACAAGCTCAACATGAACATAACCAAAAGAATTGCAATCAAAAAAACCATTACAATAATTATATTCCACACAACTCTTCATATACAAGAAATTTAGCGACACTTTTTGGTAAAAAAACTTACGGCAAATACAGATTTAAAAAAGTTCATTATAAGTATATATTATTACTAGAAATAATGTAAGCTTGGAAGTTTATTTCTTCAGTATTTAAACTTTTAAACTAATAAATAATTGTTGTAGTAGGAGAGTTATCATTAACATCTCCCAGTAGTTGGGTGTGTAGATATATAA